TTTTTTTTTTTTTTTTGTACCAGAGATCGAACTCAGGACCTTGCGCTTACGAGGCAGGTGGCGACACCACGGAGCTAAATCCCTGGCGGCCCTTACTCACTCTGCTTTACAGATGAGGAAACTGAGGGTGGGGCGGGACTAACAGTGTGTGTACGTGTGTGTGCGTGTGTGTGCACGTGTATGGCCTGGGGATAGAACCCAGGGCCCTGCTCTTGCTAACTACGCGCTGTGCCATGGAGCTTCGCCCCAGCCGTGAGACACCTCTGATATTTATGTTTACGGTCATCATCCTATTCCTGTACTTGGTCAAGACCAATAAAGGCTTCTCTGCAGCCAACTTCATATTCAAGGGCTCAAGTGGAAGAAAGAGACTCTCCCAGGTAAATTCTTAAATTTAAAGATGACACAGAAAGGGAATTTACTTACTACACCAAAACCACCATGTTTGCAGCAATACACATGAACGTCATAAAGGAAATAGGATGCATTTATTTACTAATTTAAAGTCCTCTTTGTTCTCAACAGCATCTAACACAGCTTATAACAGAAGGTACACAATAAAAAATACCAATAAAAGAGATAGAGAATAAGCATCAGAGAAGACATAAACAGACTGAGAAAATAAGACCACAGAAAGAAAGAAAATAAATAATTCAGATCACAAGGGGCCATGTAATTACCATGAACTTCAAAGTTGGCTCTGAGATTCCTGGCAGCTAAAGGAAAAAGGGAAATATTATCTTATTATGTGATTCTTATAATTAGAAAGAAGGAGGCTCAGGGGAAGTAGGGCCTGGGACTAGGACTGGGTTTCAAAGGGAATTTTTCTCTGAAACCTTGGCAGGTAATGAGTGACATCATGGGCCCCACTTTTAGCAAGCGTGGATCCCAGCGGGGCTTTTTCTGCACCAGTCTTTGCAAAAGCCAGAGTCCAACCCTGTGAAGTACAACACTGAGCAGCCAGTCTGACACAGCACAAACTCGGGCTTTGGCCCAACCTAGGGCTGGATTTTGAGTCTTGAAAGTGGGGTAGCGCCTGCATATGACTCAGAAGATTCTACCTGCTCTCAGGGTTTCAAAATCTTTTTTTAAAATGGTACTAGGGATTGAACCCAGGGCCTTTTCACTGTGCTACATCCCCAGCGCTCCCCTTTTTAATTTTTATTTTGGGACAGGGTCTTGCTAAGTCTCTACGTTTCCCGGGCTGGACTCAGACTTGGGATCCTCCTGCCTCAGCATCCCTGAGCCCTGGGATTACAGATGTGAACCATAGCTGGCTTTAAAAGCCTTTTTATTGACATGTAGTGTACCCACAAAAGGGACCTCAGATGACTTCTTCCCTGCTGGAGAATCTGAAAGCTGAAAGAGAGATGCCAGGTGGTCCTGCGGGATGCTGGGAGGAGAGAGTTAGGAAGCAAGCACGATGTCTGCTGAGGCATTTGGGGGCTGATGACTTTGAATCTCTGTCCCTGCTTTGCTCCAGGGCCTTTTGCGTCCTGTTAGACCCAGATGGAAAGTCTTTGGTGGGCCACTGATTGTAGCACTTGCAGCATCTCTGACTGCCCTCGCAGAGGGCCCAGCTTGAATCTGTCCCTTTGACTTGGGGCAAGCCCCACCCTGCTTTGGCCTCACTTCAGGAGGCAAATATTTCAATTATGAGGACGCGGCTGAGCACTGC